CTCCATCAATTTTTGTTTAGGCTGGACGATGATTCGATTTGTTCTAAATATGAATTTTTGCATTGATCTTTATGTCATTGGCGGTTTGCAAACGATTAATTAGGGACTGGGGAAGAACAGAAGCAGCATCTCCCTATACCCCTCAGGGGAAAACATTTCATATTGTGTATGAAAGACGGATAGGTATGACGAGCTGCACCATAAGTTGGGACTGCGTTTTTTTTCTTTTATTTGAACAATTTTTTAAGTTATTATTATGTAAGGTGTTGCAAAGACGGATAGGTATGAGCTGCACCATAAATTTACTGCAACTTTTCTTGGGCGCTGAACTTTGCATGTGCGCTTATCCACGAAGATATTCGTGTTTCGATGCCGGCTCAAGAAATGCCCATGAAACAATTCTCTAAGGTCCCGTTTGGTTCACGGAATAGATTTGAGGGGAAATAATTTCCCATGTCATTTCCCAAGGAATGGGAATGAAAGATTCCTTTCCCAAATTTGGTAATGTCGGGAAAGTAACCAGGAGATTTTACTTTGTTTCCTTTCCCATGTTTGTTTTGAGTAGGAATGAAAAACAAAGTTTGTATAATTTTCCAATTATACCCATATTAAATCAAATAAAAAAAGAATGCATTTAATGATAAGTTGTAATTATAAATTGTTCATAGGAACAAAATAGTCATGAAAATTGTGCATTGAATGTGGGCTCTGCTAAAATATGAAAACTATTAGAGAATATTTGCTTGTGGGAATTTTCTGTGTATTCTTCTCCTTGTAGGAGGTCATATTTATAATACAACGAAACATGAATGGGCAAGTAAATAATAAATTCCTAAATCTATTTACAGTAGGAAATCATGAATTAAAGTAAATCAATTATAATTATAATAGGAATTCTTGGTGTATAAGGAAAGTAAGTCAATATCCACAAGTCACGCCAACACTCCCCCTCACGTTGGTGCATAGATGTCACCAATGCCCAACTGATCCAGTGAATTGTGGAATGCTTTACTGGAAATTGCCTTTGTCAAAATATCCGCCAATTGATCCTCGGATTTCACAAATGGAAATTGAAACACTTTAGCCTCAAGCTTTTGTTTGAAGAAGTGTCGATCCACCTCAAGATGTTTAGTACAATCATGCTGAACTGGATTCTGTGCAATGGCTATAGCAGTCTTGTTGTCGTAAAAGAGATTCATTGTGGATGTAGGTTTATACCCAAGTTCAGTAAGCAACTTTCGTAACCAAAGAAGTTCACAAATCCCTTTAGTCATGCCTCTGAACTCAGCTTCTGCACTGGATAAAGCTACTACATTCTGTTTCTTACTCCTTCATGTCACCAAATTACCTCCCACGAATGTGAAGTAACCCAATGTGGATTTTCTATCTGTTACATTACCTGCCCAATCTACATATGAATAACCATCAATATTTAGATGACCATGCTTTGAGAACATAAGTCATTTTCCAGGTGCAAACTTCAAATATCTAAGTATCCGAAGAACTGCATTCATGTGGTCTTCACTTGGAGAATGCATAAATTGACTGACAACGCTCACCGTATAAGCAATGTCTGGTCGAGTATATGACAAATAGATCAATCTTCCCACTAACCTTTGGTATCTTTCTTTGTTAGTTGGAACTTGACCACCTCAATTCCCAAGAAATACTTGAGTCCACCTAGATCCTTCATCTCAAATTCCGTAGCCAAATAGTCTTGTAGATGTGATATTTCCTGTTTATCATTCATAGTAATAATCATATCATCAACATAGATTATTAATGATGTTACCTTCCCTTTCCGATGTTTCAAGAGCAGAGTATGATCTGAGTTGCACTATTTGAAACCATTGTTCTTCATTGCCATGGTGAACCGTCCAAACTATGCACGTGGTAACTGTTTCAATCCATACAATATTTTTCGTAACCTGCAAACTGTTCCAGTATGAGTAGTATTATATCCATGAGGGATGTCCATGTACACCTCCTCCATGAGTTCGCCATGTAGAAAAGCATTCTTTACATCAAACTAGTGTAGTGGCCAATCCAAATTAGCTGCAAGGGACAATAAGACTCTGACGGAGTTTAACTTTGCAATTGGAGCAAATGTTTCTTCATAGTCTATACCATAGGTCTGTGTGTACCCTTTTGCCACAAGTCTTGCCTTGTATCGCTCGATAGATCCATATGCATTGTGTTTTATAGTAAATACCCATCTACATCCGATAGTCTTTTTTCCTCGTGGTATAGTCTCCAATGTCCAAGTCTGATTTTTCTCAAGAGCTTTCATCTCCTCTTTTATAGCTTGGACCCATTTAGGATCTTTCAATGCTTCAGAGATCTTGGTTGGAATATGGATAGCAGACAATTGGTGCACAAAAGCCATGAGTGGTTCTGACAGCTTATCAATGGATACATGATTTGCAATTGGATACTTGAATGTCTTGCCAATATCAGGTGAATAACGGTTTGGTGGCTTCCCACGATTTTGCCTGAAAGGTAATTGATATCCAATAGTTTTATTCTCTAAATGCACAAGTCTAGTAGGAGTAATTACCTCAATGATATTCTCAGGAGATTGGTCTATTGGTACTGTTGAGTTAGAATGAGGGTCTTCATCTTGTTGTTCTGTATTGTCTGTAGGTGTGAGACTCAGATCAGAAATATCTTCACATGGATCAGGTGGGTTAGGCAATTGATCGCTATGAATGGGCGATTAATCGCTTTTCGGCAGAGAGTAATCTCGTGCTCCAGACTCGGGACGATCAATCATTTTTGTACATAGGAGAATTTCTTCGTTTTCCAAGTTGCTCCAATTCTGCTCTTCACTTCGTATCTCCCCCTGAAGCATAGAATTGGATAATAGGTCATGGAAGAACAGCTCAGATTCCAGAAAGGTCAAATCCAAAGTGACATAGGTACGTTGGGTAGGAGGGTGATAACAGCGGTAGCCTTTCTGATGAGTGGCATAACCCACAAAAACACAACGCAGCGCACAGGGATCAAGTTTGCACTGTTGATTTTTGTGGAGATGAACGAAAGCCACACATCCAAAGTCACGCCAACAGGCTCATTTTCTCAAACTTTCCCATGAGGAGGGAAAATAAAACTCAAGTTAAGAGGAGGGCTTCACTTTCCCCCCTACTTTCCCTTGTGCCAGGCAACCATTTCCCATGCCTGGACTTACCAAACATGGGAAAGCAATTGAATTCCCATTCCCAAGCCTCCTTTCCCATGAGCTAAACGGGGCCTAACAACATTCACGTTGGAATCCCATGCCATTTTGGCAGTGTATGCTTGAGAAAATGCTCCTACCCCTTCCTAACTTTGACAAAAAAAAAATTGAACATTTGACTGAAAAAAAACATTAGCAGTAAACCAAAAGGAGAAAATTAAAAGCAAACCACAAGTACCAATTGTGATTTTTGGCCTTCTTTCTTAGCATTGAACTTCCCTTCTTCAGCTTCTCTATTAGCATCTCCCGCCTCCTCTTCTTCAACTTTCAAGACCTTTCTGCTTTCGAGCAAATGCTCAGCCATGCGGCTTTTTGAGTTCTACACCCTTTCAGATTCTTGGAGACAGAAAGAGCGCAAGGTTTCAATCCAATTGAAATTTGAGCATGGCGGAGACGGAGAGCAACTATGATTATCAACTAGAGGTGGAGAATGCACAACATTTAATTTGAGAGAATGGTCCTCATTAGCCTTGACTTGAAACTTTCATGGAGATAAGTCATCAACATTGACTTTGACTCCACTTGGCTTTAGTTACGTTTCATCTTTCTTAGAGCATTTCCAGTAGTTAAGGCTGGACTCTTGCTGGGGGGGTTGGTTTGGGCCAAAAAGTGGTTTCCAGCAACAAAAGCAAGCCAGGGCAGGAGGTGGGGGCCACCAGACTGGGCTGGCCTAAGGTGGAGTTCAGCCCGAGGGCTGAGTGATGTCATCACTAACGCCAAGCTGGAGTCAACCCTTGCGCTTTGAATTTTTTTACCGTTGGCGCGTGCAATGCATGCGCTAACGTTAAAAAAAAATTGCACACTCGCGCTACAGTAGCTGCCAACGGCTCTCGTCCACGTGGTGCGCGCTGGGCTCTTCGATCAGCTTTTTTCCAACAATCCAACGGCAGCCAATTTTTGTGCAATAAAAAAATGAAAAAAAATCAAATTTTTTTTTAAAAAAACCAAAAAATTACTTTTTTTTTATAATAAAAAATACCAACCAATACTCTTCACTTTTAACACCAAATCCTCATACATTTTCTTCTCTTTCTACTGTTATTCATTTTCTACTCAATATTTTTTTCACTTTCTACTCAATATTTTTTTCACTTTCATACCTCCCACACCCAATCTTCTCTACATTTTCATTTCTCATATTTTAGATTTCATTCTCCATTCTCAAATGTCAGACATGGAAGATGTTTTGGAGAGGCAAGAGCAAGAACCTAGAGAAAGAAGGCGTAGACGAGCTGCAGGCAAAAGGGCACAGAGAGAACTAGATCAACAAATTGTCATAGCAGTGGCTTTGCTTAATGAAGAAAACCAGAGTTGCCGTGGTTCACGAGAAGACCGTGCCTTGAATGTGGACATAAATAGACATTCTTGGGATAAGAATCTTATGGAAGATTATTTTATCCCAAATTCCCTGTACTCTGATGTTCATTTTCGAGCTCGATATAGAATACAACCTCATTTGTTCAATAAAGTCATGCATGATATTTGCAATTATGATAAATACTTTGTTCAAACAAAAAATGCTGCTGGAAATTTGGGACTTTTTCCTGAGCAAAAGTTCACAGCTGTAATACGAATATTGGCATATAGGTCATCTGCTGATTAGGTGGATGAGATTGCCCGGATGGGGAAGTCCACTGCTTTGGAGAGCTTGATGAGATTTTGTGATGCAGTGGAAACTCTGTACACCAAGGACTACCTGCGCAGACCTACGCCCAGGGACCTGCAACGGCTTCTATAAAAAGCTGAAGCTCGAGGATTTCCTAGCATGATTGGTAGCATCGACTACATGCACTGGCAATGGAAGAATTGTCCAATTGCTTGGCAAGAGGATTATGGAAATAGGAAAGGGCAGAAAAGTATCATCCTTGAAGCCGTTGCTGGATTCGATATATGGGTTTGGCAGGCCTTCTTCGGAGTTGTCGGATCTCAAAACGACTTGAACGTCCTGGGTCAATCCTTGGTGTTCAATGATGTTTTGAGAGGTGAAGCCCCGAATATCACCTATGAAATCAACAATACCATCTACCAGAATGAGTATTATCTAGTTGACGGCATCTACCCAAGGTGGACCACATTTGTGAAATCACTTCCACATCCCCAATCCCAAAAGAAAAAAGTATTTGCTGCCTATCAAGAGGGTTACAGAAAAGATGTGAAGAGGTGCTTTGGTATTCTCCAAGCTCGTTGGGCTATTATTAGGGGCGCGGCGCGTCTATTTGACGAGGAGGTACTTAGGAGCATAATGATGACATGCATCATCCTCGATAACATGATTGTGGAGGATGAGTATGATTACGATGTTGATGAAGTGTATGACCCAGATCCCATGAACACGGCCTTGACATGAATTTATGAGAAACCCATTAGGCCAAATGGATAACCAGTGCAGCATGAACCGTTGGTTAGGGACAGTAGTTTCATGCCCCGTATGATTGATCACTACACGGAGATGCAATCGTCGTATATTTATGAACGACGTCAAGTTGACTTGATGGAGCATTTATGGGTGGTGAAAGGCAATAAAGGTGAATGAAGTGAAGTGAAGACATTCTTTTTATTTATTATGTTTATGTTGTATTTTTAGTTATGCTTTGTTTTTTTAATGCTTTAGTTGTGGTTTGCTTTTTATGTATGGAATGTTTTGAATAAAAAGGTATTTTATTAAATGTTTTCTTTTTTTTAAAATAAATTTATCTGAATTTTGAATTTTGAAACCGAAAATTTTATCCGATTATGAGATATGAATAGTATTGACACGTAGGAACTCAAAAATCCTATCTGAAAATATCATCCAAATTAATTGTTTATGTAAAAAAAGTTGTAAAAAAACAAAAAAATGAATAGTATTTGCATGGCAAAGGACAACTACTGGAAACACACATTGCTTTTTTGTAAGGGCAACCACTATTCACATGAATAGTAGCTGCCATAGTCCTCCCCTTGCCATGGCAAGGGGAAAACTGCTGAAAGTGCTCTTATATCTTTATCTGTTTCACATTTGTCTATAAATTAATATTTGTTTTGGATCAAAATGAAACTCACATGACTTCTAGTCCACTGGCTGTTGTTTTTCATTTATAACATTTATATTCTTAGTATCTTAATTTGTCATACACATTATTTAACTATTCATCAAGTACTTGACCACTTTTTCCATTAGCTAGTTTTCACTCCATGAATCATTTAGTCAATTTGCTTGAACATGTATATTTCCATTTGCATCACAAGTGAGCATGCTGTAGTCCATTTATTACGAAATATATATTATCTGTATTCTTGAATGACCATATTTTTCATCCCCGCAATTTAGTCTAACTTTTAGTTTTGTCCTTAAATTTTCAAGTAGTTAATGGTGAAGAATATAAAGTCCCACATCAGAAACTTGACTAAATAAATTATTACTTATAATAAGTGGTTCCGTTCATAATAACACCAAAATAATGCTATTTGTAAGAAAATCTCACATCTATTGAACTTTGTACGTGGTTAAGTTAGAGACAATATTAGTGTTGCTAGTAGTGAACCATTAACTCGTCTCTCTGAAATTTAATGAGACAATATCGATATTGCTAGTAGTGTCCGTGTATTTGGAATTTAGCAGTGGACCGGTGTTCAATTCATATGGAGGAAGCTTCGTCCTCAATACATCTCTCGCATCTCAGTGTGAAAATCGAGATCATAAATATGTTCAGTGGCTAGTGGGGCAATAGACATTGACTTGTTACTTTATCACTTTGGTCACTACCTTTGTGACTTTATCACTTTGGTCACTACCTTTGTGACTTTGTCATGCGTTCCTGTTTTTCTTATCTTTATTCTGTTCTCTTTTATAGAGCAAGATTTTATTTCTCAAACACAAACATAAGCTGAACATACAAATGGCTGCTACCAGCACGCAGCAGGATCCGTCCTCTCACCGGTGCACTTATGATGCATTCTTAAGCTTCAGGGGTACAGATACACGCAAGGGATTTACTGATCACCTCTACAGGGCTTTGGAGGTGGCAGGGATCCACACTTTTAGAGATGATGACGAAATCGAGAGAGGAGCAAATATTTTAGCAGAGCTTCAAAAAGCAATACAAGAGTCTCGAGTATCCATCATTGTCTTCTCCAAGGACTACGCTTCCTCGAGATGGTGCCTGGATGAACTAGTGACGATCATGGACCGTAGAGAAACTAATGAGCACATGGTTATGCCGATTTTCTATGACGTGGATCCATCCCATGTCAGGAACCAGACAGGAATTTTTGAAGAAGCATTTGCCAGACACCAACAGCGCTTCAACAAGGAGATGGACAAGGTGGAGAAGTGGAGAAAAGCTCTCAGAGATGTTGCAGATTTGGGAGGGATGGTTTTAGGAGATCGGTACTTTTTCATTCCCAAAATGGTGGTTTTAACTCTCTCTTGGATGGTTTTTAAAGTAGATTATATTGAAGCTTTTTCTTTAATCTCACGTAGTTGTTAGATGGCAGCACTTCTGTTTTGAAAGTTCATTTGCTTAATATGATTCATTTCAACCTATGATATAAATATCAATTCTCTTCTATAAAATAAAAATAAAAATAATAAAGAAATAAGTTTCTTTTTGTTGAAAAGAAATAACTTTTTGTGCCTTGTTTATTTTGATATCAATATTTTATAGGTATGAGTCGCAGTTTATCCAAGATATAGTTGAAGTTATTGGAAATAAACTGGATCACACATGGAATAGGAGATTA